TGCGGTTCTCTTAGAAGTCGGGGTGTGTACGGCGTGGGTTGTGGCCGACAACAGCCCAAATAAACACCCCTTGTACATCAAAGTGCCTATAGTCCTTGTCGGAGAACGCTACAGTATGTTATAATTCGTCAATTCGCTTAACTTCTCCAAGTAGGTATAACTGCAGACCGGAGATCTCCAAAATGGGGCGTGAACTCCAAAAGTGGGCAGAACCTCCAAAATGGGGCGGGGTCTCCTCACGCAAAGACTTTCACCATTGGCTCTGGCTCCAGCCAATTGTTATTGACTTACATTTCAAAATAAAACTTTATAAATGTAACATTGTTTCTAGTTCATCTAAAATAAAATATGCTATATAAGTAAATATTCTCCATGAGAGCAGAGCCCAAAGCTCGTGGCCAGTGGTGTTCGGACTGAAGTTTGAACATCTGCTTAATGATATAAATGGGAATCACCCACGAGCTCTCCCGCGAGCCAGCGCAGGGGAAAGATTTCACTCTATCGCTTTGTTCTAAGCAACGGGGGCGTCCCGGGGCTCGAAATTCGCAGGGTAGGGACGCTGGGTGTAACTAAAAAGATGCCATTGTCCGGTGAGGTCCGGTTGGGGAGTTACGGAACGATCTCATATCGCATAATCTTATTAACTGTTTATATCCTGAACGGCATCTTTCTTTACCATGCTATTCAGCGCCAATCCCGCCGTGAAGTCAGTTTCACTGGTTAAGGTTAGGGTCAGGTGTGGGCTAGGTTTAGGGGTTAGCATTTTTTGTAGCATAATGTAGGAAATCAACACTTTAATTGACACAACCAATAAAATCTTTAGAATCACTGTGGGGTGGAGTTTGCACTGAAGTGGATTGTGCATCTTTCTTTACCACGCTATTCAGCGCCAATCCCGCCGTGCAGTCAATTTCACTGGTTAAGGTTAGGGTCAGGTGTGGGGTAGGTTTAGGGGTTAGCATTTTTTGTAGCATAATGTAGGAAATCAACACTTTAATTGACACAACCAATAAAATCTTTAGAATCAGCTGTGGGGCGGAGTTTGCACTGAAGTGGATTGGGGGGAAAATTGCGCATGCGTGTCATGTGCCTGTCTGTCAATGAGAGGAAGCCACGCCCTATTTTGGAGCTCCCAACCCGTTTTGGAGTTCCCGCCCCCATTTGGAGATCTCCGGGCTGCAGTTATACCCTTCTCGAAAAAATGGTGTAGAAACATGTTCACTCAAAAATTGCTAGTAAATTTCACATTTACAAAGAAATGGCACATTGAACACAATGAAAACATGAAACTTTGAAGTAGAAAAACTGAAATATTATTTTCATGTAAATGTTTTTCAATCTTCTACTTTCAACTTCAAAAAATCTTTTATTACAGTGTATGTATATTGCTAATTATTAGTATTTACATTTTAAAGATATTTTTAAATATTTAGTTAGCTTATTTTTTGGGATATATCAAATATGTTGACAGACGTCTTAAGCTGTTCCATGCCGGTGGTGTGTTTCTAAGACACAGTCAAATTAAAAATAGTCACACTTTTAAAAAGTTGTCTCGATTCCCCTGCATTCTGTTTCATTCCCCTGCTCTTCGTCTTGTTTTTGAACACAGGAACACTCCTATGTAAAAGATCTCTAAGAAATATAAAAGTCAAAAAATTATTTTAAAAAGGTCTTCGCAAAGACAATGAACATTCCTCCTGCTAAGACCACAGCAAGTCAGTGTTGTGTTTTCATTAGAGGTGCACTGCAAGAGGAATGCCTGCTTGTTCTACACTTGCACTTTGAAGTGACGCCTAGTGACATTTGCTCAGCAGCTGAAGGAATATAAGAGGTATTTTTGTTGTGGAGATTGCCTTATCTTTGCTGAACGCTACTATTTTTAGTCTTGGGGAAACAAACCCATTTCTTCTAGCAGAAATCTAAGAAATCTAGCAGTTCACAACATTTAGAGTAATGGGACTTTGGGAATATGCTGCATAACAGAATCATTTTTCTCAATTGAATAAAAACCAGAGAATACAGATAGATCCAACATGGGTGTTACATAGAAATGAACAAGATGTACAGCCGATGTAATGACTGTATCTAGCTCCCTGAGGTACCTTCCTCTCAGCTTTCATTATTAGATGTCTTCACTTGAGATTGGATGAAACAGATGAGTCTGAGGGCAGAACAAGAGGTCATTACTGTCATTTCTCAATCAACTTGGGAGTTTTCAGACTGTAAGCGACTGAATATTCAACTTCACACTTCTAAAAATGAAAATGTTCTCTTCATAATCTAATGTGCTTATTCAAAAGAGTCTTTGTTGAGCCTTTCTGACTTGTAACACCCATGCAGATACAACCATAGCAGACCTAAATGTGTAAATATGTTTAAAGGAGATAAAAATGCAGACCGTTGAGGTCATCTATTTAGGCAGCGTTAAGAGAGTAAGAGCCATCCACTGCTGTAAAAAACACCATTACTGACTCAAAGCTTAAACCTCTACACTTTTGTCGATGCCATTGTTTTCATGAGTTCTGAGAAGTCAACTAAGCTACTTTCCCTGGAGCAGGTGGGATGTCCTGCGCAGGAGATTATTTGTAGATGGGGTTTAACACAGCCATGTCAAGTACTGAGGTGACTGGCTTCACAAGGAACCTTATCTCAACAGAATTGCATCTTCACAAGGGATTTTCCCCTTGTAAATTTATGCTCATTAGAGAATATTGAAATGCAGAGGTCACTGATATTCTTGCTTGGAGTAAAGTGACTATTGTATATGTATGTACATTTGCTTAATCACAAAGAATTTATGCTACTTTGATACCTTTATTTGGGCATCATATGTATTCTTTTAATAGAAAATGCCACCCCATAATGCTCTGCAACAGGCTCAGTGGAAAAAAAAATCCAAGATGGTAGATGAAATGTTGATTATAAATATAATTCAAACCTTTTACTCCGAATTTGTGTGAATATGGAGTTGCTGCCTATGTAAAGTGTTGCACATCAGTCACTATGAGGCTCTATGTCCATTAAGATGCTCCCTTAGAAGGCAGCTGCCTATGTAGGTGGTAGATAGCCCAATAGATTTCAGAACAGAGACTTAATTCCTCCTGTCAGCGTCAAACAAAAACAGATGCCAAAATGCCCATGAGATGAAATGTGAATTTAAAACACATTGTCTCCTTTGTTATTTCTCAATGGTTTAGAAATTCAACACTCAAGTTTATATCATGCATCTACACAAGTGTTCGTACAGGCTCGGAGGGTGTAGTGTAAGAAACACACTCCTCAGCGAAGTCACACTGGGAATATTGCTGTACAGTTATCCATGTGTCAGTGGAGGAGGATTTGTGACCTCTTGCACATCATGAATTGTTCAGGGCTACAAACATGCAGATCATTTTAAAGCTGCGGGGGCAGAGCCCGAGTGTGACTCTCTATGTGATATCACTCCTCAAGCTTTAGAATCTATTCCAGTTGGATATGATACGATGAACTTATAGGGAGCACACATCCAATCAAATCCCAGTGACGTAGACCCCAGAATGTGTAATGAATGGCTCTGTGGGCATCTCTTTCTCAGCCAATGACCAGCCTCACCTCCTCCCCCCAGCAAAATGAATCAATGCTGCAGTATAAAAATAACAAGGAATATTATCCACTTCATGCATTGCTGAGTGAACCGCATGTGTTGAATGCTCTCTGACAGGCTGCATCGGAGCAGAATGTGTTTCAGCTTTTCTGCACGCCGGTTGCAGGGTGTGGTGGGGTTTAAACGCTGCGCTGTGGAGGCTGTCCAAACAGCCCCATGATTCTGGCCATATAACTCATTTCTCTGTGGTGTAATGTTTCTTCATAGACCATCATGCTGAGTTAGGCGTCGATGCCAGGATTAGAAAATGGCCTCCTTAAATAGGGTGACCCCTTTTTTGAGTTTTTGGTGGTCCATTCGTGTGGTTTTAAAGAAGTATTCCAGGTTCCAGGCATGGTGTTGATTACTGCAAAAAATAAATTTGGACTTGTCCATCCTTTTCTTTAAAAAAAAGAAAAAGGGGGGATAATTTAAGAGCAGAAATGTGAAATTTATCTTTTTTTTTTAAAAAAAGCACTTACACAATCGTTCAAAAGTTTGGTGATATCTTTTAGTAAGGTTTTTTTTTTTCCGGAAAGAAATTAATACTTTTATTCATCAAGAATGCATTAAATTGATCAAAAGTGACTGTAAAGACATTTATAATGTTACGGAAGATTTCAGTTTCAAGTAAAAGCTGTTATTTTATTTAACTTTGTTCATCATCAAAGAAAATTTCAGAAGGAACATGACACTGAAGACTGCAGTAATGGCTGCTGAAAATGTAGCTTTGCCATCACAGAAATAAATTACATTTAAAAAATATTCAAATAGAAAAGGTTCATTTGAAATTGCAATAATATTTCACAATATTAAGTAAAGTTTTTTTTTTTAAGTTTAATTAATTAATTTATTTTCTGTATTTTGATCACATAAATGCAGCTTTGGTGAGTATAAGACTTCTTTCAAAAACCAACCCCAAACATTTGAACGGTATGCTACTTTTTTGTTAAAACTTCTGCTGTAAAGCGGTTTAAATCATAATTTTACAGATTTTTATTTGTTTTTCAGGATTTTTGAGATCAGGGTGTTACATGGTCATGTTAAGAAAGTTTTAGGTTTGTAAGCATTTTTTTCACAATCAAATGTGACCCTGGACCACAAAACCAGTCATAAGGGTCAATTTTTCAGAAATTGAGATTTATACATAATCTGAAAGCTGAATAAATAAGCTCTCCATTGATGTATGGTTTGTTAGGATAGGACAATATTTAGCCGAGATACAACTATTTGAAAATCTGGAATCTGAGGGTGCAAAAAAATCGAAATATTGAGAACATTTAAAGTTGTCCAAATGATGTTCTTAGCAATACATATTACTAATCAAAAATTAAGTTTTGATATATTTACAGTAGGACGTCCCATATAGAAAACATCACAAGTAAAATTAATCATGTTTATAAAGATAAACATGCGTTTGTTATAGCCCACTTACAATTTACATTTCAGAGATCATTACAAATAAATTATTAAATGCTAAAACTGAATAAATTTAAATGAACAAACTTGCCGTTGCATTTGCAACCATGTGAAAACAGGGGGTGCTGCAGCCCCCTCAGCACCCCTACTTCCCGCGCCCCTGCCCATACAATGTATTTTTGGCTATTGCTACAAATATACCCCAGCGACTTAAGACTGGTTTTGAGATCCAGGGTCACAAATCATGTTAACATGCGTATTGTTTACGTCTTGTGGCTATACTATTGAAACAGTGAGTATTTTATTGTTTACAGCCCTATTCTCTTCCATTATAAGTACCTCACTGTAAGCTAGACACTTTTTTAAAAAATAAAAAAGAAGGATAAGTGGAAATTAAATTTTGTGGTTAGCAACATTGTGCCACAAATTCAATCAATTGAGTTTAACAGCAGGCAGATGCATTATGTAGATATGGAAATTAAGCTAAGTCAGGAAGCTCTCTCTCTCTATATTATATTATTCAGTTCTGTAATGCCTAGGATTTTACCGGGGCATTACACTAAGATTACTGAAGAGAACCAACAGTTCCCCTTCAGGAACTCGAGCTGCGTCGAGATCGCTTTGGGAGCTTGAGGGCGTTCCCAAAGCGATCTCGACGCAGCGTCTCGTTCCCTCGGGGAACCATGGTTACATACGTAACCTAGAGACGTTATGCCTCTAAAGGAAGAAGTGGAAGATTAAAGCTTGACTAGGATTGTCACATCTCATCCAGCTGTGCTCTCCAAACAGGAAGAGAGAGGTCAGGATATATAGGTCATAGAGCACCTGCCTTGTTTGAGGGCTCAATTATTCCTCAAATGGCATCAGACCACAGAGACTTTACCCGACAGGACAGACCTTACATCACTGGGTGAGGTGTACGGAGGCGAACATTACTGACACAAGCTATGGTTTTGGTAGTGCTGAGCACCAGCCTCCTATTTGATGATATGATAGAACAGGATGTGGCAGGCAGAAAAAGGAGACATCATCACCATGGCCAGTGGCCTTTGTGTCCTCCATATGGCTGGATGTGATTGTAAAAGAGGATGTAACTATTTACACTAATTCAACCATGCTTAATTGATCTATTATTTAGCTCTTCAAGTGTATGCCGGGCCCCAGACTGTCACTACTGTGCTCACAAATATGATTAAAAATGTGACAATAAAAATATTAGAAAAATGTCAAAATATGAATCAGTACAATAACAATATAAATAATAGTAAAATAACACTGGATCTTACTAGGGTGTGTGAGTGTTTCCTGTACAGTGTGAGTGGTGATGTCCTGATTTGCGAATAAATGACTCTTATGAGTTTCTTTTTAATGAGTCAGTTAAAAAGATTCACGAAACAGCCTCAAACTCACTCAGAGAATTGTCCAGAGCCATTATTCTAATGTATACTTTTGATTTGTGAAAATTACATCAGTATATTTGCTCTCTGGTTGTTGATATGAAAACTTAAATAAAAATGCATATTCACAACACAGTTGTGTTGTAAACAATAATTAATATTCAGGAACAACAATAGGTTGTTAAAGAAAATTATTTCTTTTTTCGAAAAAACAGTCTTCTTTATGCTGTCCTTCTCACGTTTTACTTCAACACACTGTTGTGGTTTCTCTGTCAGATTTGCAGCCACGTCTTTTGTATTACTAGCCTTGATAAGAGCCTTGGCCCAAAATACAATCATCAAAGATTCATAAAAATTATCCCTAGCAATCAGATGTCCATTAAAATTTCAGTTCCCTGAATATATGAAATATGAAATTAATATAAAAAATGTTTTTGATATTTATATGGATGATTATGACACAAAAATACCACAGACATACAGTAGTAATTTATGAATGTGTGTTCAGTTGCTTATCCATGGTGGATCCAAATGCTAAAATGCTGTTAACCAACCAACTTTTCATAGGGAATGAGCCTTTAACCTTTTAAAGCGGTAGAGAAAGTGATGAGATGTATAGGTCACGTTCTGAATTCTTTTAAACATTTTCATGATGTTGGACAAAAACGAAGAGACATAAATTTCTAAAATTAGTATGAACTTCACAGTTGACCTTTTTGATTTAGCATGTTTATTAGCGACTACATGAAATTAGCGAGCCTTCTGGCCTTCACTTTAAAGCAGTCAGCTGTTATTCATAACAGAACGACGACTGCTTGTCAGTCTACACAATTATTTGCGGTGGGACGCTTTTACATCAGTGATGTTTGTTGTGAGAGTGAAACTAAAGATGGCTGGTAACATATCCGTTCACAGCTCACAGTGATGCGAAGAATGTGTGCTGTCTGGGTGGAGGATTTGGTCGCTGGGCTCGAATGTTAATTGAGTTTCAGAAATCTTTAGAGGAGTACAGTGGTACCAATATCACGTGTGGTTTAGGCTGTAACGACACCCCCGAAATTTCAAGTTGTTAATTCAACATAAAACTGATGTTTTTCTCTGTCTTCTTGTTGCAGGCTACATCAGCACCTTGGCAGTCATCCTCAAGACGACGAATCCTAAACCATGGGTCAATGAGTTTGAATGTAAGGCTGAGTGATTTGTTCTCCAGCAGTCTTTAGCTGCTGATTTGAACATTAAACAGGCCACTGGAACTGCTCACAAGCTCTTTCGTTTTCTCTCCCCATGCAGCGATCGAGCTGTCCTGCATGATAGAGTCAATCTCCACTACTAATCCCAGAATAGAATGGAAGAAAATTAAGATGGGAGAGCCCAGTTATGTATATTTCGATAAAGAAATAGCAGGTAAGCTATACTACATTCAACACATACTGAACACTGTGCATTACAACACATTGACTAATACTTTATAATAAGGTTCAAGTTGCTAACATTCTGTTAATGCAATATTTTACATGAAATACCAGTACATTTCTACAGCATTTAATAATGTTTGTTAATGTTAATTTCTGCATACACTACTGTTCAAAGTTTGGGATTTAAAACTCTGATGCACTTATTTGATTGAAAGTACAGTAAAAATTGTAATGTTGTGAAATATTACAATTTAAAATCACTGCTTTTTATCTTCAGCATCATTACTCCAGTCTTCAGTGTCACATGATCCTACAGAAGTGAATCTAATATGCTGATTTGGTGCTCAAGAAACATTTCTTAATATTATCAAAATTGAAAACAGTTGTGCTGCTTAATATTTTTGTGGAAACAGTGGTATTCTTTTCAGGTTTTTTTTATTGATGAATAGAAAGTTCAAAAGAACAGCTTCCCCTTCAGGAACTCGAGCTGCTTCGGAGAATGCTTTGGGAACGCCTTTCAGCGTGACCGGCTCTGAATCATATGTGTAATCAGTCCAATGGAAGGGCGAGACGTCATAGGCGGGTGACGTAGTGACCAGGAAGCTATAAAAGCACGTGAGGTGGAATCGGCTTCAGCTTTCTGTCATTCAGCAAGCGCTCTGTGTGTGTGTCAGTCGCATTTTATGTTCTGTGAGTTTTATTTACTGTTGTCTGTCAAAGTAAGCACAATCATCAACCTATTAGCTCCAAATATGTCAAAAAAGGCTCAGAGTAAAACAAAGCATCTGGGCGAAAACAGATCACGTTATAGATTGTGTGTTCCTCCCTGCCCACGCTACATCACGGGCGGGGATACACACAGTCTGTGCGTGGTCTGCTTGGGAGTGAAGCACGCAGAGTCGGCTCTCGAGGGAGCATTGCGAGCGGCTTCCCCTGCGTACGCTTCGCTCCCGGATGGCTCTCTTCGAGGAGGGAGCCTTCGCCAGCGTTCCTCGCGGTGCTGGCCCTGCTTCCGCCGAGGCGGAGCGGCAGCTGCACTCGTGGGGTTCTCAGATGGATCTGGTGGAGGGAATGGAGACGGGCGAGTCCCTATCTTCTTCCTCACCCACCAGGTCTGCCCGCTCTCTGGGATCGGAAGCCCGTTCTGCGGTTTCTTCCCCCCGGGGAGCGGGCTCGGCGCTCCGCCTATCTTCCTCCGAGGAGGTTGATGTGGAGAGCGTCGAGGATTCGCCCCCTCAATCCCCACAATATGAGGAGCTAATGGAGGTAGTTACTCGTGCGGTTGCCAAGCTGAACATCGAGTGGCCCGCAGAGAAACAGACTGAACCGCAGAAAAGCAAACTCGATGAACGCTTTCTGCGGGCTAAGTCGCTACCTCCGCGCCGGAGCCTGCCGTTTTTTCCCGATCTCCACACCGAGGTGTCGAGATCGTGGAAGAAACCATTCTCGGCCCGCTTATTCGTCCCCGCCTCTGATTACTATGGAAATGTGGCGGGGTTGAGTGAATGCGGTTACAGAGCGATGCCCCGGGTAGAGCAGACGCTTGCGAGCTATCTGTCACCCGGTGCGGCGTCGTCTCTGAAGGCTCCGGTCTTGCCCTCCAAGCCGCTGCGAACCACTTCAGCGCTGGTAGGCAAGGGGTACTCGGCAGCGGGTCAGGCTGGTGCGTGTCTGCACACTATGTCAGTTTTACAGGCGTACCAAGCTGGATCTGGTGGAGGGAATGGAGACGGGCGAGTCCCTATCTTCTTCCTCACCTGCCAGATCCGCTGCCCGCTCGCTGGGATCGGAAGCCCGTTCTGCTGCTACTTCCCCCCGGAGAGCGGGCTCGGCGCTTCTCCTATCTTCCTCCGAGGAGGTTGATGTGGAGAGCGTCGAGGATTCGCCCCCTCAGTCACCCCAGTATGAGGAGTTGCTGGAGGTGGTTACTCATGCAGTAGCTAAGTTTAACATTGATTGGCCCACCGAGAAACAGGCTGAACTGCAGAAGAGTAAATTAGATGAGCGATTTCTGCGAACTAAGCCGCCACCTCCACGCCGGAGCCTGCCTTTTTTCCCCGACCTTCACACCGAGGTGTCAAGGTCGTGGGCGAAACCATTCTCGGCCCACTTATTCATTCCCGCCTCTGATTATTATGGCAATGTGGCGGGGTTGGGTGAATGCGGTTATAGATCGATGCCCCAGGTAGAACAGACTATCTGTCTCCCGACGCGGCATCGTCTCTAAAGGCTCCGGTCTTGCCCTCCAAGCCGCTGCGAACCACTTCAGTGCTGGTGGGCAAGGGGTACTCGGCAGCAGGTCAGGCTGGTGCGTGTCTGCACACTATGTCAGTGTTACAGGCGTACCAGGCCGACCTGCTAA